AATCAAACCCTGACAGTGATAGATCATAGAAGAAAATTAAACCCCTGACTTCTTTGCTATTCTTAAGGTTGTGATACTTGATTTCTAAAGCCGCAGAGGTGACACTTTATCGAGATAATTGAAAGCAGCAAAATAAACGATACAATCCGTATAAAAAAAAAAAAAAATCAGGGGCATACGTACGAGAGATTAAAAAAAAAAAAGAACCCTAAGTCAGGTAGAAAAAATATGCAGCGAATTCCAACAGTTCTCACGTCGCTTTCTGTCCTTTCTCTGTCAAACTTGTCTAATTCGGACTGGAAATGGAGTTTTGGTGCTTCTGAAGTAGAAGAGCTGTCGTTACCATTTTTTTTTCCGCTGAAATTAACAATAAAAAGTTAGATATTTAGACAACAAGATGATGAACAAAAATGAATACCAACAGCTGGAAAACCAAAATTCTTTACGAATTTCACAATAACGAATTCAGGAACAATATGAAGAGTTTCGAGTTAATTTACTCTGGAAAAGTAAAACCAATGAATCTGCAGCACCGACTCCGACTGTAAAGCTTCCCCTACGTCGTTGCCGTTTCCATGATTTGGTTTGGACTCTTCAGTTCTGAATGATGAATGAATATTGAATGGTAAGATGTAAGGAGAATGTTTCCTGGTATGTGTGGCATTAAACTTCGGGCCAAGGCCCAAAGGGTGTAACCCAGAAAAGGCGGCCTTCGATCACGGTAATGTCCCGACCCGTATCGCAGCCATACAAAAACCCGAAATCTGAATCCTGGCGGCGGTGGGTCCGTCTCCCAGTTTTACCTTGTTTCTTTATATTCAAAGTTCAAACAGGGCAGGTAGACAGGAAGAGGTGGGTGCAAAAATGGCGTCTAAAATCAGCCGAGTAGGAGTTGCCTTAGAGCTTCCATGTTTTTCAAAGATTTCTAAGCGAGTTCCTTGTCGATCCTCCAGTGTTCGCGTCAAATCGGTTGTCTCTGTTGGAGACCAGAAGAAGACTTTCACCCTTGAAAAATCTCAAGAAGCTTTCAATACCGCCAAGGTGTTCTTGTCTTACCCTTTTCCGGTTTCCTTCTTCCTAGTTTGAACTGTTTGGATTGATTGTAGTAGTGTTCAAATTGATTTTATTTTTGATGTGCAAGCAAGGGGTAAAATCCGGTTTGAAATTCTTTTCTTTTGGATATGCCAACAAAGAATTGAATTTTAATAGTAAATTGCTGAGTTTTATTAAGATGGTAAAGACCGACTCTGTTTTCTAAGTTTAAATTAAAGGGATCAGAGAGAGCTCAACTGTATTCAAAAGTGGGGTGGGTGGCTCTTCTCTTCTGTCCGGAAGTTTTGATCTTGTATAGAAATTGTATGTCTTGAGAAGCATTTGAAATATATGCAAATGAAAAAATGTAAGGTTGGTTGGAATTCATGTGAGGGAATGGTGAAATCTCCTTCCCGTCTTTACTATTTCTCCTGCTATGTTTAGTGGCACACCTTGTTTGAAGTTTTGTTTTATTGACTCCTTTATGACTTTTTTGATTTTTCAGAATTTGATGCCTGGAGGTGTAAATTCCCCTGTCCGTGCATTTATATCTGTTGGTGGACAACCTATTCTTATTGATTCTGTCAAGGGTTCTCACATGTGGGACATAGATGGCAATGAGTACATCGACTATGTTGGCTCTTGGGGACCAGCAATAATTGGTCATGCAGATGACGAGGTATGATTCTTTCTTTTCAATGAGTGATGAAACAAATATAGCGACTAATGTTGGCTATATTTTGCTTGTATTGATTGGAGAGTTCCTCACTGAGGGTTTTTGAGTGACATTTACATTTGCATGCAGGTGCTTGCAGCTCTGACTGAAACAATGAAGAAAGGAACCAGCTTTGGTGCACCTTGCCTTCTAGAGAATACTCTGGCAGAGATGGTGATCTCAGCTGTCCCAAGCATTGAAATGGTTCGTTTTGTAAACTCAGGTACAGAAGCATGCATGGGTGTTCTCCGTCTGGCCCGTGCCTTTACTGGCCGTGAGATGATCATCAAGTTTGAGGGTTGTTACCATGGTCATGCTGATGCATTCCTTGTCAAAGCAGGTAGCGGGGTCGCAACCCTTGGTTTACCTGACTCACCTGGTGTCCCAAAGGCAGCTACCTCCAAAACTCTTACCGCCCCATTCAACGATGTTGCAGCTGTGGAAGACATCTTTGAGACTAACAAAGGGGAAATTGCTGCAATTATTCTTGAACCTGCTGTTGGAAACTCTGGTTTCATTACCCCTAAGCCTGACTTCCTTGAGGCTATATGCCGGATCTCTAAGGAAAATGGTGCTCTCCTTATCTTTGATGAAGTGATGACTGGATTCCGTTTGTCTTATGGTGGGGCTCAAGAGTATTTTGGTATTACTCCGGATTTAACAACCCTAGGAAAGATCATTGGTGGGGGTCTGCCAGTTGGAGCATATGGAGGAAGGAGGGAGATTATGGAGATGGTGGCACCAGCAGGACCAATGTACCAGGCTGGGACCTTAAGTGGGAACCCATTAGCAATGACAGCTGGGATACACACTCTTAAGCGGTTGCAGTTGCCAGGCACTTACGAATACCTAAATAAGATCACGGGTGAACTTGTTGAAGGCATTATAAATGCTGGAAAGAAAACTGGACATGCAATTTGTGGAGGGTATATCAGTGGGATGTTTGGGTTTTTCTTCACGGAGGGGCCTGTTTATAACTTTGATGATGCAAAGAAGAGTGATGCTGACAAGTTTGCAAGGTTCTATAGGGGAATGTTGGAGGAAGGTGTTTACTTCGCACCTTCACAGTTTGAGGCTGGATTTACAAGTTTGGCACATTCTTCTGAAGATGTCCAACAGACAATTGCAGCAGCTGAAAAGGTTTTAAGGAAAATTTAGATTGTGCACCTTCTCCTTTTCTTGCCTTTTCCCCCCATTTCTCTCGCTAACATTGCCGTTTTGTACGTCAATCAGCGGCTACTCGATAGTCAGTTTTCGTAAGCTTCTGTTTCAGTATGTGCTAGTCATTCTCATAAGGAAAAAGTATTTTCTACCAAATAAAAAAAAAAAAAGAGAAAAAGTATTTTGTTTGTTAAACCACCAAGTACATCATCTGGTAATTAAAGCTTGTGTATAAACTCAGTCGCAGGCTGCAGCTTGTTTGCTTAGTGGATGCCTTCTGATCGCTCTAACATTTCTTCTTGCAAAGCAATTCACTGTTAAAAATTTATTATAATTAAAAGGATTTTAATTAAAGTTTTATATATTTTAATAACAAAAATGTGTTTTTAGAAGGCAACCTATATATTAAAAAATACAATTTACCTTATAAACTTATTAAAAACACCTTTAATAAAATTAATTTTTATGTTATTACATAGATTTATCACCTTTTAAAAATAATTATCAAACACCAGCAATTCCAAACAGACACCCAATCCCGCTTTGTTCTCTTGCCAGAACATTATAACTGCATCTTGCAAGCAGTAATCCATGTTTTCCTCTGTCGGAACAAGGCTCGTGAGAATCACAATGCATGAAAAATCATAATCTTTCAAGACTCAAGGAAATAAATAGCATGCCAGCAACAAACTAATCATGAATATATAGGCTTTTACACAGGTATTTCTCCTTAAAATTTGTTTGTAGATCTGTCTTTACGGGTAGTCTATACAGCTTTACAAGTGATTCAACTATTCAAGCATTTGAAATAACTTAAACTCGGAAGAAATGGAACCGTTTGAAAAATAAGACCACATCATCGTCGACAAACAAACATGGAATGCCTAGCACCTTCGTGACTTTGTTTCTAGTGCCTGACGCTTTGATGCCAGGATAAATAATTCTTCAAATCTACAGTCTTCACAGTATGGAACATGAGCAAACAATTTTCCTTGGTGAATCATCAATCTTCTTTTCTGTTCAGACAAACCACGAAACACAAGTCAGTATGTATATAGTGATATTCACACAAGTGAAGGGGGAGAGGACCAGATCCATGCAGGATTCGTGCTGTTCAGTGTCCATGCAAATCCTCATGGTTTTGGGTTTTATCGGACTCCAAAAGACTGGAATTCCACAAACACAGTATTGTGGTTGGAGAGAGGCTTGATAGCTGTTCCCCATAAGAATACATGAATGCAAATATCTCTACCACAATCGAAGAACATAGTATTGTGGTTGGAGAGAGGTAGTTTAAAGTCCTTCCAAGAAACTACAACCCAAAGTACTAACAGCTATTAGGTTCATGGATGACTCGTACTTGAAGATGGTTTATGATCATTGTAAGGCCACTTTCATCCAAAGAGATGCAAATATAGTACCAAAGCAGAACGCATTAAGTACAATCATGTGTGTTAAAAGATATGCAAATGCATATTCCAAGTGCATAGAAAACACACTTCGAGTCACAATTTTTATTATTAAAAAACTAGACTGAGTAAATTGTTCGATTTGATGTTGGAAAATTAGTTCAGACCAAGCTAAAGGCCATTAAGTGGAACATTACTCAAAAGAAAACTCAGAGTTCAGAAAGAGAGAGGAACAGTACTATATAGATTACAATACTGCTGATAGGGAGCAAATTGTTCAGTTCTCCTCCAAAGTTCCACCACTATTCTAGTAACCTCCAACATAACAATAATTACGAACAAAAAAAGAGCACCTGCAACTGTCATAGCTTAAGAAATTACTCTTAGAACTAAAACAATGCAATCTATGTATCAGCCTTCTGAGACATGGATCAACACTGTTCTCAAACCATTACTTCTGTATAAACAAGCTACAGAAGGTGTTTGGCAAAGCTTAAAATGCAACTTGCTTAAAAGCAAATTCTTCTCTCAGAAGTTTGAAAATTTGTTGGAGGGAAATTTAAAAATGAGTTTTTAAAGTGGCCTTTTTATGCAAGTTTTGAATTTTCCTCCAACAAAATTTTAAATTTATAAGAGAAGAATTTGCTTTTAAAGCATATATTTTTTAAGCTTTGCCAAACACCCTCAATAAGAAATAGAGGCAAAAAGCAGAAGAAGAATCCAAGACTTGAAGAGAAGAAAAGTGAACAATGCGCTTGGCATGTTTAGATAATCTACTAGGCCAAGGCTCATACCTAAAAGCTATGAAGTTCAAATATTAGCTTTCACTACCACATCTTCCACACTAAAACATGACCAAAATATTTACAGAGCTACAAGGATGAACTAATCTAAAGAGATAAGTATGCTGTCACCGCTACTTAGATTGAGTGACCAGTGAGCATACAAAAATCAACTGCAGAGTCAGCAAAAAAAAAAAAAGGGGAAAGGAATATCACCAAGTTACTGTAAGTAAGCTGAAGACATCCTTGTTTGCATGTCTTGTGTTAGTACTTTCAAAAAAGTTTTAGCCTGAGTTAAATGCAAATAAGTTTTACTCTTATAAAGGACTCGATAAGAAGATAGTCTAGTTTAGATTATATAACAATTTTCGTATTATAGTATATTAATATACCATGAAAAGTACCAACTTTTGCTGTGACATAATCCTTGTAAGATTACAATTTTTTCCTTTTGATAAATTTGCCAGATTACAATTAATAATGGTAAATAGGATTTTTGAACTCATTACATGATTTTTTAATTAAATTTAAAATCTCCATTAATAACAGGGAATGTATCATAGACGTTAGAACTATAGCAGCACATGAAGTCCTTTAAAAATTGGGTACCCCTTATTCACTTCTATTAACAATTACCATGTCTCTGAAATTAACCATTAGCACTATGATGAGCACATATCTGATGTCATAGTTCATGTATCTCAAAATCCCTAGTGGTAATTAGGTTACTTCAGTTAAAATGGAAATGATGTATTTATCAGGATAAAATAATTCACATTAACATAAAAGATAGAATAGTAACCTGTCTTAGCTTTTGCAAGAGATGGCTGTACAACAACATGCATTATGATAACCCCACCAGCGATCTCACCCAAAGGTCCTTTACACTGACCAACAGTCTTGCTATTCTCCAGAATTTTTCCAGAATTAATGAGTTTGACTTCATTCACAGCCTTTGGAGTAATTGTCTTACCTAAAGGCAAAATAAAGAGCATTTAGGAGAGTCAGAATAAAAAATTTTAACATTTATAACTGTAAAGAAATGACAGAAAAAAAAAAAGACTTGTATAAAAATGACTATTTATCTAATAAGTCAGTGTAAAAATCTGGCAAATTTATCAGCTTCCACTTGCTCTTACATGCTTTCTGCACGTAAATATAGCAGATTTAGAAGCCCAAAGGTTATACTACAGTTTCCCTTACAACATTTCTTAGCTCAATAAAAGTTGTCCCACTGCAAGAAAGATTTACAAAGCACATTTGTAGTAAAAAAAATACAATTTTTTTCTCCTCACACATTGTTTAATAATCATGATGAAGATAGAAAAAGAAAAACATCCAAAGTAGCCATCTTTTAAAATGGATCAAAAAGAGTAGTATATTAATTGAGAGAACGAAGGGTGCTCCCACCCACTCACAAAAACCTTCACAATAAAGACAACTCACTCAGCCATCAATATTCTGTATCAGTACGGCAAAGTTAGTTTTCACTCCGAGACACACTTTCACAATTCCGCTAGTCTTGTATCATTCACACCGCTCTCACCCTAAAGCATCTTGGGACAGGGAAAAAACAGTAGGAATGGATTATCAACTCTCTTTACCTAGTCATCCACATCCATAGTTATCATCCGAAGCTAAAAAGTAACAAATATACTATTTTGCTTGGGAAAATTATAAATCCTCAGTTCCTTGAGCTATCTTACACACTGCCAGTACCAGCAAATAAATTAAAACTAAAGCGCCAGAGATTCTCCTCAAATCTAGAACATTAATATAATAGGAAAACCTTAAATTAACCAGAAAAAATGGAATCGGTAAAAAGAGGGTAGGTGATAAAACCTTTGGGCCAGTCAGAGACGATCCTCTGCTTAAGCATATCCACCGTCGACGTGGAAGAATAGCGGAAGGGACCAATATCCGACCCATCATATAACCTGAACTTGATATCTATCAAATCTTCCTCCGGCATTTCTGTAACCTTATCGGTTGCTCTTCTATCCAGCAATCAGCGGCGTTGGCTCTTCTAAAAATTCGATCAAACCTAGTTCACCTTTAAATTACTACAATTAAAACGAAATTGAAGTCGGAAAATCAGCGACACCCCCCAGAAAAATTAGATTTTCAAACAATTATGGAACTTGATACTGAAACAATCAACGGAATTCGGAAAAAAAAAAAAAAACCTGGAATTCCGGTGCAGTAGTTGAAGAGTCAAAGTGGCTCCTCGAGCGAGAAAGATTGGTGTTTGTTGGCGAGCGGAAGACGAAAAAGAAATAGGTCTTGCGATAGGTCTTGCGATTTCTAAAAGCAAGCTAAACCGCTTGTAACACGACACCGTTTACGTCGATTTTTGGGTTTAAACGTCGCTGTCAGTCTTCACCACACGCTTGTTTGCCATCCTCAAAACGACACCGTTTGTCAGTTCGGATACGCGTGGTCGGCTTCTCCGGCGGAAGAAAAGGAAAACAGGAAAGTAGAAGAGTAGAGGAAGAATATGGAGACTATTTGGGAAACTCCGACGAATCCTCCTCAGAAACACGATTACGTATTTGATAATTTCAGGAAATTGGAATCTAAAGGCTGAACTTTTGACGGCAATTTATGTCCGAGTTCATCTCTCATGTAAGTTGTTCGTTTCAGAAACTAAATAATAAGTATAATGAAAGGATACACCTTTGATTAGTTGATTGACTTCCACTTCCCATGGAAGAGCTGTTAGTTAAAAAGATGTGATTAATTGTTTATTCAAACATCAGAATGGAGTTGGGGGTTATACGTTATGTAGCATATTCTGTTTTAATGCAGATTGGCAGCTTTAATGGTGATAATCCCTTGAAAGGAAAGTCTGCTTGTTCAAAATTTACTGTTAGGATCAGTACCAATGGAACTTATGGCATTGTCTTGTGTGAACCTATCACTGAGTGAACTCAGCAAGTAAGATAGTGGATAGCCGATTTTGATTAATTTATCACCATGATTTTGAGATGTGGATTGTTGTTTACAGGGTTTTCTTCCTATTTACTGATTTCAAGCTAGGTATTAAAACATGTTGCAGTTAAGAATTAGTTTTCCATTCTAAGCCACCTTGCATGACATGCTTTAAAATCTGTTATGTTTTCAGTAACTGCTTATTTTTCTGACTTAAAACCATTTTTATGTGCATTTGTAACATATAGGCCATCCATTAGCTAATGACATGCTTTACGCCGCTGAAATTGTTATTGATCCTTCTATTGAAGGGATGAGTGCTGAAACAGCTGCTTCTATTTCTCGAGGCTATCCACCAGCAAATTTCAGAGAGAATCTTGAGGATGGGAGACAGTATATAATCCTGTGAAGATTTCAGCACTGATCATATGTGTTCACACTGTCCAAATTTGGCTCTGGCTCCAAAAGGGTAACAAACTTTTGATACTTGTAATATTTTGTCCTCTATTGAATTACCATCCACTTCTGTTGCAACATGATAGGAATTAATCTGTGTAAAACTTGTCTGCAATCGTTGGTAAAAAGTAGATTCTAAAGAGAAGAACATTGTGGGATGATAATCAGAGAAGCTGCTCAGTCTTGGTGTGACACCATGACACCTTCTAAATTTGTCTTGCTAAGTCTCTGCCATAGGGCCTGTAGCTCTTTCTAAAATTGACAGAAGGTTAAAGTTCTAAAAAGACATTATAAAAAATGTTTATATGTCATTTATATCCCCAAGCATAAGATGCAGTTGGACTTAACTTTGAATCACCAAATGCTTTCTATAATGAGATTCATATTTCAAGTATCAATGACTTCTAAATTTTGTAAGCTACTCATAATTTATTTAGTTCAAAGGTTGATGAAACAACAAAAAATCAGAAAGGCTTATTTGGGCACTTGTGTGCATTTTCTCTGATATGGTATCTTCTGATTAGTACTCTTAAAACAAAATGAAAGTTCTGCACTCAGGATCTCCTTTCTAATTGCATTCATATAAACAAGATAAAATAAAAATCAGAACCATGTTATTACAGTTTTTATTTCTTCTGAGTTTGAGGACATGATTTTTTCTTATCACTTGAGAAGCTACATATGATTTTTGAGTTCTATGTCTCCTTCTAGCTTGAGGCGAAGGCAGTTGTCCAATATTACTTCAAACTCAATGGCAGTATAAGTTGGGAAACTGAGTCAGTTGAGTTTCATGAAGTATCAGCGGTGTAGAAATGGTTGAGTTCATTAAGTGTCAGCAGTGTAGACGGTTGACAGTTGAGTTTCATGAAGTCCTGTTACTGTATGTGATAAGATGAGAAAAATGTGATATATCTTGCAAAGAGTGGGCTTTCTTGAGTAATGTTAAACCAACCACCTCTGTGGACTTGCTTTCAATCCCAAGATTGTTAAAATTTGAGGGTCAAAGACTAGGTCCTTGTCAATGCAAGCAGATCTCACACAACTGTCTTATTTAGTATCTAGTGGGTTTATTTTCAACTTTCTCGTACTAAAATTCTGAATTGCAGATATGATGGGCATGAAAAGGGCTTAAGGCTACATTGTGTTCGGTATCCTGGACCAAGATGGGTCTATAAATGCCCATATCCAAACTTGGGCATCAATAAGCTAATCTCTTCTTAGACCTTCTTTTCCTGGAATGGAAAATAAATTTTCTTTTTGTTCTCATAGTTTCTGAAAATGTTAAAACTAATCTTTGGATTGGGAGAGAACTAATTTTCCACTGAAGGGATCATTATTCTTTACAAAGCAATGTCTACATTGAAAATGTATAGCAAATTAACATTTACGTTGAAAAATGTATGAGCAATGAATTTTCATAATTTCTTCTGAAGTCTCTTTATTGATACTAAAATTTCTTTCATCGTATGAGAGTGTTTTTAATGGCTAAAATACATATCAAGCTTTCTGTTAGAAACAAAATGCATGAAGAAAACACTGTTGTCATTCTGTTGCTGCATGTGAATCAAAGGATCTTGATTTCTTTCTAAAATATATTGTGTCATCTAGGATGACCTGATATCTGCTTCAAAGTATTATTTGCACTTACTCTTACATAGGTTTCCTGATATTGTTTACATGGTTTATTGTGCATCAGAGTTCAGGGATCAACCATAATAATCTCCAATATTAAGTGGAAGAATAAGTGAAATACCTGCAAAGCACTGACACGTTGCCATAATGCAATTGGACTCACAGATTTGCAAGGGCAAAGCTGTCTTGATTTTATATATTTGGTATATTCTCATTTAATAAATTGACTTTCAGATTTGTAGAAAATTGTCATGAACTAAATAACTTTCTTCTGCTAAAGTTTACCATTGTGGAAGGAGTTTTCTTCCCTCCCCTAATTTCATGCGAACCTTTTCTTTTAATCTTTGTTTCTGTTAACGGTGATTAGAACCCTTTGATATCTTTAAACCTTCTCTTTTTGGTTGAATTGAAAGGTAAAAGCAGCAGAAGTCCTCTTGGCTGTGATGTCACTTGGCATTGAAATAGCCACGAAGTCAGAAATGAGATGGTAGCTCTGGGATAGAGTAGAATCTAAGCGATGATAATGGTAGTTCCTGTTCAAGATTTAGCATTGAGTAAAGAGGCTTACAAAGTAGAGAAGAGACTGCAACACCCAATTTTCATTCTCTTTTTTGGGGTCACCTCTCATGAGACCCTGACCTCACCTTATCAGTTTATCTTTGCAAAAAGGAATTTTAGTTTTTGCTCTACATATTAAAGACAAAAGTCTTAAAGCTCGGGGATGGGGTAGGTTTGCATTCTTACCTTAAAATCCTGGTCCATGCTTTCTTTACTAATGCTGCATGTTTTTTAAATTGCATTTTTATATAATTGCTTGATGTGTGACATGTGAACCTTATCATTATAACTTTATATCATGCATGGCATTTGGTTAGCCTATTGATTGATATATGTATTGATTAGTCCTTCAATGTATAGGCAACGCGTTTCTTTAATAAAAACAGTGAAAAATAACTTTGTGTTCTTATATGATTTTGATTGATTGATTTTCATTGATCAATGTCTGAGCAGTTATAAAGTTGAACTATTTCTTGCTGAATTATGGACAAATTCTAATTAAATTGTCATGAAATGGATCTACATTATTTATATCTTATCAACTAAATCCTCTATATCACATTCTAATGAATCCAATGTTCCTCAAATAGAAGTTTCCTGTTTAAAATTGTTGTTTAAGTAGAGATTTAGGTAATTTTGAAAGTGAATGAAGATTAATTAAATCCATATAAGCTCTCTTAGAAGTTGGGAATGTGTAACTTTTAGTTGTTAGCCATCTTGCATCCGATTTTAGCTTCAACTGTTTGGAACACAATACTTTTCAAGTTGAAATTCTAGACAGGGTTTCGAAAATGGTGGGCTATTTGTTATTTGTATAGTCTATTTTCAAACGTTCTTTTGTGATAGAATTCTCTTTTGCATGCAATAGGGAAACTCATTGTAGAAACAGAGGAGCTGACATAAACTTTAAACTGTTTGGGATAGGTGTCATTAGAGACCATACATTTGTAATGGAAACTAAAGCAGTGCAAGAGGAATGACCCATCTTATCTTCTGCGGTCCAAATATCTCAAAAAGTGATCTAATAGACTGCACAAAATTGGCCAGTTGCTAGCAATGTCATCAAGGAATTATGCAAATAATGCCAACCCTTATCATTAATTTCAATTATTGGAATTGTGTTCCTTTTGGATCACCAATATATGGGGAGAAAAGCAAAAAGGAAAGGGAAGAGAAGCAAATCCTCATGAAAATTGCAAATTGCAATTATCTCTATTGCATGACGTCCAATCCCCACTCAAGATAGCTTTGAGGAAGCATTCGTTCTTATCACCACACTTTAGTGCCTACTAGTGCAGCTTCTTGGAAAAACGTCCATTCTAATCTTAGTTCATTGAGTTTTGTTCTTAAAATGCGAGAAATGAACGGAAATTCTTGGGTTTTCTTGGAGTGCAAAAATTAATATTCTAGGAAGTACAATCCTACTTGCTTAAAAATTGTAGGTTGTATTCTTATCTCGTGAGACTAAAACATTTTAAAGAAAAAATTGTCAACAACAATTGAATGCCTTTTTCTTTTTAATTATTTTTACGAGATAGCATCCGTTCACATATATTAAGGTTTACAAAAATTATTAACCATTGAGTAATGATTGTTAAATTCAACAATTTAAAATATATTTGTAATAAATGTATTAGATTGAAAAATTATTAAAGTGTTGGAATGGTTAGGCCTTTCCCTTTTTAAATCACTTCCTTGTCCCTTAATGACGCACCGGTATAATACTTTGTCCCTACCATTGCCACCAGAAGCCAGCAGTCGTAAATTTTTGTTACTTTCATCACAAAGAAATTCGAAATTTGCGTTGAACGTAAGCAAAAATTTGACTTGACTAGCCACACAGGGGCCACATTTACATAATGCTTACATTATAAAAAAAGTGCCATTACCGGAGTAGTCCAATCAACCATTCCTATGCACTAATATCCTTTTCCATATGAATTATTGGAGATAACATCGTTCTTATGCAATGAGGTCAAGCTTTAACATCATGATGTAATGTTGCTAATT